AAAGAGATGGGGAGGGAGAGAGAGGGAGAAATAGGGAGGGAGAAAGATGAGGGGGGAAGAGAGAGAGATGAAGAGAGATGAGAGATGGGGAGGGAGAGGGAAATAGAGGGAGAAAGAGCGAGGTAGAAAGAGAGAGGGAGACACACACTTACACACTCACACAAACCTGTTTCCCATAGAAAAGAAAACACAGGGAGCCTCAAAACCTGGGTAAGGGTGGCTGGGGGTCATGTGACTGGGTGGGAATGAGTAACATCGAGTTGGCCATGCCCACCCAGGTTTTGTGGCTCCCGGTGTTTTGTTTTCTGTGGGAAACGGATCCAAATAGCTTTTTGAGTGTTTAGGGTTCGTAGACCCCTGTCCTAGCCACTTCTCACCTAAGACTTTTAAAATGGTTACAATTTCCTTTTTCATCAAGTGACAAGAGGAAGCTATTTTAGAATCTGGTGGTATCAGTACAAACCCAACACTGCAGTAACCATAGATTGACACCTCTGAAAAGGAACGCCCTCTCCTTTTATGCTTCTTCCACTTGTACCCTCTCTGCCAGTTTTTCATCTTCTGGTTCAGTTCCTCCTGGGCATCTGAGCAGAAGACCTGAGTCACAGGCTCATTCTTACATTCAGAATGTAGAGTCATCAACTAATTGCAGAAAAAGTGACCTCTAGCTGCTTCTTGCAATCTGACTCACAATGCTACTTCTCATTGGACGAGGACACTGTCTTTATAGAATATAGGATATTTAAAATCACCATTAGGCCTTCAGGTTTATCAATATATAATACTGATTTGCATTCACATAATTGTAATGCTTTGATACCAAAAATTGAATGTTGCAACTGGTGAAATTAGTGAAGGTAATTTTCTTCCGTTTTCTAGATTTTTGTTAGAAACATAGTTAATAATCAAAGCTGAATTTCCATGATAACAGATCAATATTTATGTAGGAATTGAGAAATTGTTAATTTTGGGGCTAGAAATGTGTGTTTACTCAGGGCTTGCCACATTGGAGATGCAAACATCTGGGCATTGTGTTTAAACATCATTGACGGTATGTATTTAAAGAGAAAAAAAAATAGTTGCTAGTATTCCAGTGTATACAATAAAGGTGTTTTCTATATGCAAAGGAAGGCTCTTTAGATTATTTGAAATTCATGCTGGCAAGGATTGTTGAGAGTGGATAAAGGGACAATGTGCTATAAATATCTGGATACTAAATTGCCTGGTTTTGGTCTATAAGATTGTCAAACCTAAGCTGCCTGTAACAAGAATCGTTTGTAATTTAAAGATATAAAAATGAGGTCTGTTCTTTTGGAGAACAGTGAAAATCCCAGATTGTAGTGCAAATAGGGAAATAAAAAGTGCCACATAGACAAGAACATTGACCTCCATTGCCAGCTTAATTTCAGGAGTTCTTTATCTTTTATTGAGGGTGGGGATAGGAAACTTGGGCTGCAAAGGCAGGTAGTCCTTGACTTAACAACAGTTCATTTAGTGACCATTCAAAGTTACAATGGCACTGAAAAATGTGACATGACCATTTTCACACGACCTTCGTAGCACCTCTATGATTATGTGATTAAAATTCAGATGCTTGGCAACTGACTCATACTTAGGCCATTGCTGTGTCCCAAAGTTGCGTGATCACTTTTTGCAACCTTTTGACAAGCAAAATCAATGGGGAAGCCAGATTCACATAACAACCATGTTACTAACTTATCAGCTGTGGTGATTCACTTAACAACTGTGGCAAGAAAGCTCATAAAATGGGGCAAAACTCACTTAACAAATGTCTCACTTAACAACATAAATTTTGGGGTTCAATTGTGGTTGTAAATTGAGGACTATATATCTCTGGACACCCACCAGACAGCAGGAAATAGTTTTCTGCAACTCTTTGACACCACCTAGTGGACATCTGAATTTCTGCAGCTCAAATATCTTCCCAGAAATCCCTGTCCAGGGAGCTGTAATGCTGAATGCATACCAGATATTTTCTTGTCTCTATCGCACGTTTCCTGATTCTTTCTCAAATAAACGTTAAACTTTCCTGATGTAATCATCAATTTGATGATTCAACACCTGACAGTAAAAACACCTCTGCAAATATAACACACGTCTTGAAATTTTCTGGCTACCGGATGGAAGTTTAATAGGAGAAATGAGAAATAATATCAGCTAAAGATGGAAAGTAATTTTAGCTTGTGGTATAAAGCAGGAAGCTCTGGTCTGGCTGTGAACCACAGTCCAACTGTATATCCCTTTGCACAACTTTGGAAATGTTGTCATCTTCTGCATAGGAGGCCACAATAAGAGCTGACTTGCAGAAACAGCTTGCTGAAGAGCTTTGCTCAGGGATCTTTTTAAGAGAATAGAACAACCTGTTGCAGATATGCATAGAAAGATTCCTCATTAAAACAGTTAATACTACTTCTGAAAACTTTTAGAGATTTCTCCTTCTGGCTGACTCTGTTTCAGATTTTTCTATTCCTATATATTTACAGCAACAATATCCAGGTAAGATACATTTTAAAAACAAAGAGATTGGCAATCTCAATTAAGACTACCCAATCTGGGCTGTAAAATTTGGGTGATGGCAGCAAGAAGCTACTGTATGGAAAACGGTTAAGACTGCCAAGTTAGTGGTGTTTTAGATTTACGCAGCTCAGAACAGCTCATTCTGTGGAATGTGGCTCTTTTATACTTCCTTGGTATAAAAGAGCATCTAAGATGATTAAAGGCTTGGAGCCTAAAACATAAGAAGAACGGTTGCAGGATTTGGATTTGGCTGGTCTAGATAAAAGAAGGACTAGGTGGAACATGATAGTATTATTCCAGTATTTGTGATACTTCCTCTTGCCACAAAGAGGAAGCAGTCAACTTATTTTCCAAAGCACCAGAGGGCAGGACACGAAACAATGGATGGAAACTAATCAAGGAGAAAAGCGACTGGGAATTAAGGAGAAACTTCCTAACAGTGAGAACAATTAACCAGCTTGCCTTCAGAAGTTGTGGGTGCTTCATCATTAGAGGTTTTTAAGAAGAGGCTGGACAGTCGCTTATCTGAAATGGTATAGGGTCTCTTGTTTTAGCAGGAGGTTGGACTAGAAGACCTCCAAGTTCCCTTCCACTCATTCTATTCTAATTCCATAAATATATCATAAATAATGTAAAACCTTAATTATAAATGTCATAAGTAATATAAAACCTTGCTTTCCTCCACATTAAATTTCATGTTGTTGGATAAGGCCCATTGATGTGGGCACTCTGCTCCACTTAGCTGGTCTGTCACATTGTTGTCAGCTGCTGCTGTGGATGCCACTGCTCAGGTGGTCTGCTCCAAATAAATGTTTGATTTCCAAGATTTCTCTCCAAGTCCAGTCTTTTCCTCCATTCACTTTTTCCCCTGTGGTTGTAATTCTCTGCACGTTTAAGGTTGGTTTTCTTTTTTTGGCTTTTAATTAGATTATTCAGGAAAGCCCCGCTATCACCTAACTAATTCAAAAAGAAAAAGAAAAAAAAAGAAGACTCCTATATTTCAATAGTTTGAATACTAAAACCTGTGGGTAAATGCTTACAAGAGGTTTTGGAGTGAAATCAGGTATACGTAAGAGTGATACCAGAAGAAGCACAACAAAAGAGAAGTTTATGCTTGCTCAGAATTCAGAAATGAAAATTCCAAATAAGGAAGTCCAAGGGTTATTAGATGAGGCTGAAAATTTGAAAAAAAAAAAAAAACTTTCCAGAAGACAATTGCAAATTACTGTATTGTTTGCCAACAAGGGTGTGTCCATATAATCACTAGGATTTCAGCTTGACTCAGGGATGGTTGTACTATTTCGTTCTGAAACACCCCGCCCTCCCCACATAATCTTCATTTTTACCCCAGTAAAATAGAAAAAGCTGCTAGCACCATAAATCAGTAGTGATTGCCCTGTCCAGTTTAAAAGAGCGCTTCTTGTCCAAGGAATGAGAATGTCTCTTAACTTTACTTTTCCTGATAAGAATAGGACTCTTAGCGTTGTTTCTTTTTCATACAGCTTACAGTTTTGGGTCTTCCTTGTTCTATATCCGCAGTTTTTTGAAATTAAAATTACTTACACAATGGCATGTATAAAATTCTGCCTTGCCAAAACCTGCAATACTTTTTTAAAATTTTTATTGGTTTTTAAAATGAACATAGACAAACAAAACATAAAAACATCAAGCCATCTTCCATATATATGCCCTGTTTCTCCAACAATACGGCCTCCCCCAATAGGAAGTCCCAGCATGTTTTATGGGCATGAAATGAAATTAAGCACCCCCCCCCAAATTAAGGCCTATATTAAAACATGCGAAATGGGGGGAGTTGTCATTAGGAAGTACTTTTGTTGCATACCTGGATATGGTGCTGCCTGCGTTGACCCCGATACGAAGTGCCCCACCAACGTCGAGGTCAACATCCAAGCCATCGCCGCCTGCCCACCCAAAGATGCAAGGGGGGGGGAATTAAGTCATCCCCGAAAAGACGGCCTAGCCATTTTTGGGGGGCTCAAAAAAAATAAGACCCGGCCTTATTATATGAGAAACATGGTACATACAGTGTGCCAGTTGGTTTACAAATTGTTTTGTGCTTCCATTTCATAGTCTTCAATTACAATTACATTGTATATATTCTCATATTTTCAATCAAGTATTAAATACATTAATATCATTGTTAATCATTTGACTATACTTTTATTCATTCATGTTTTACAAAATAATCATATTTAACTTGAATTGTTTTATGACAGTTCATATTATCATCTCAAATCTATCCTACAATCATTTTGTAGGTATAATAAGGAAAGAATACCTCTTTATATATTTATTATTTTCTAAGAAACTACATATTTCATTACCTAAAACCTGCAGTACATTTGTGGAAGTCATAAGTTATTTGATATAAAGGCAACTTCAAATAATGTCTATTCTTCAACTAAATTACTCATGTTGTCTGTTTTGTTCTTTTTTTACAGACTCGTTTCATCAAAAATCGTCTGCAATGAATACTATTGACATGCCTCCAATATTCAGTCTTGTGGATGTGGAGAATCTCAATGAAACCAATGTAACCTGCAACAATGGAGAGTGTATCACCGTGGACACCTTGTTGTGCCCAAATGTGCTTAACAAAACTGCTCTGCTTTATACCCTCTCCTTTTTGTATATCTTTATTTTTATGATTGGCTTAGTGGCCAATTTTGTGGTTGTCTGGATGAATTTTCAAACAAAACTTACCGGCTATGAAACCCACTTATACATCTTCAACCTTGCGGTGGCTGACCTTTGTGTGATCATCACTCTTCCCATCTGGGTAGTCTCCTTTGTTCAACACAGCCAGTGGAACATGGGGGAAATCTCATGCAAGATAGCTCACCTGGTGTTCTCCATCAATCTATATGGCAGCATCTTCTTCCTGACATGTATGAGTGTGGACCGGTACCTCTCAGTTGCTTTCTTCAAACCCGCCAGCAGTGTTAAAAAGAAGAGACTCCGCTATTGCACTTGCATTTTGGTATGGCTCTTTGCCTTCTTTGCAGCCCTTCCTGATACCTATTACCTTAAGACGGTTTCCTCCAACAATGAAACCTATTGTCGCCCTGCCTATCCAGAAGAGACTGCAAAGGAGTGGCTAGCTGGCATAGAGCTAACCTCTGTTATTTTAGGTTTTGTCATTCCTTTTCCTGTCATTGCTATTTCCAATTGTCTTTTAGCCACAGCTGTATTGGCCTCTAATGATCAAGAGAGGAAGCGTAATGTGAAAATTATTTTTTCCTATGTCCTTGTATTTCTTGTCTGTTGGCTGCCCTACCACATAGTTGTCCTGCTTGACTTCTTGTTGGCCTTCCATTTTATACCCTTTAGTTGCCAAATGGAGAACTTCCTTTATGCAGCCCTTCACGTTACTCAGTGCTTCTCTCTGGTTCATTGTTGCATCAATCCCATCCTCTATAGCTTTATCAATCAAAACTATAAGTATGAACTCATGAAGGCATTTATTTTTAAATACTCAGCTAAAACTGGCCTTACAAAACTGATTGATACTTCCAAGGTTTCAGAAACAGAGTACTCTGCTTTGGAGCAAAATGCTAAATGATCATTGCTTTTCAAAAGACTTTGCTGGGGAAGCAGATTACTCCTTCCTTAGTTTACTGAACCTTGACTACATGATATTCATTTTAATATATATATATATTAAAAAACAGATATTTTGCAGTTGTATTGGAAAGATAAATATATTCAACCATGTATTTGGTTAAATTGTGAGAGTATAAAATACTGTAGTTTTAATATTGGATCTTCTTTTCTATTGTAAGAATAGATTGCATAACAAATGAAAATTATATGCATTTTATGTTGAAGTTTTCAACTTTTGTAACAACATAGTTGTAATTTGTTTTAAAATATTCATTATTGTATGTTAATAGGTTTCATGATCTTTGTCTATTTGTTTCTTTCAGTGCCTCATCTTCCTATTTGTAAATTATTTTTCAAATACTATCTTGGACGATAAGATGCAAGCAATACAGTATGCTATTGGGGCCCCCAGATGTACCTGATATTTAATTTTAATTTTTTTTGAATCAAAAAAAGTATTCCTGGTGACTCCACTGTAGTTTCATAGACAACACTACAGAAGGGTTTGCATTGGTTCTCTTCTTCAGTTCCTTTTCTAAAGGGATTATAACCTGATATTCCCTGGAAGTCTTCCAGGAGCAATCAGAACAGATTCCTACTTAGCCAAAATAGTATAGAGTTCTGAATTCTAGATTCAGAGCCAAATCACCCCCCCCCAAAAAATGGTTTGCTTATAGCAGGGGTCCCCAACCCCTAGTTCCTCAGCCCAGTGCTGGACTGCAGTCCATTGGGGAATGGGACCATGGAAGTATTGGGCATGCATGTGCAAAGCTGCCTTTGTGAAAGTGGTGCATGTGTGCATACAATACCATCCCCTCTTACCCCTCGTGGCCGCCACCAGTCTGCCAAGCCAGAAAGGTTGAAGACTGCTGGCTTACAGTGTCCTGCTTGTGACGCACCTGCATCAACTAGTTATGAATGGATTCAAAATATTGATGAACAGGATGCCTTCAAAGTAGTTTTTATCAGCAATTTTCTTGTCACAATCATATAGACTTATTGTTCATGTGTGTGAGTGTGCACACATGTATATGCTTCTGAATATAATTGGTCTCTGTAGTCCATTTGTATTCTTTTTCTGATCCTAAAAATATCCAATAAACAACATGTTAAGAAAGTTTTGTCTCCTTAAGTAAGATACCTTTTTGTTGTCATTCTGTTGTAAGCTACTCTGGGATAACCTGGGTTTGGAAGATGGCATATATATTTTAAAAAGATTTTTTACATAAATGTTTAAAAGTGAACAGCAAATAATATTGAATTACACATAGACTTACAGCAAAATATGAGAGTGGTGACTGAAGAATGCCTTGAAATCAGAATCTAGATTTCACCGAGGAATTAAGAAGTTTTGGAAACTTTGGGTCTTTTTGGACAAGTCAGGAGTGTTACGGTATATCAGGTGGTATTCAGCAAGTTCTGACCAGTTCTGGAGAACTGGTAGCGGAAAGTTTGAGTAGTTCGGGGAACCGGCAAATCCTACCTCTGACTGGAGATTTTGCATTATCCTTCCCCTGCCACACCCACCAAGCCACGCCCACAGAACCGGTAGGTAAAAAATTTGAATCCCACCACTGGTATATCTGTTTACATTAAAAACTATCATATTTTTCAAAGTATAAGATGCTCTGAAGCATAAGATGCACCTAGCTTTTGGGGAAAAAAAACAAAACTGCCTCTGCCTTCCAGCAACTTGCTTCCTTGTAGCAAACAGCAAACAGCCTGTTTCAGCTTCATCACAGCCTGATTAGCACAAGCAGCTGATCGTCAGTTGGATCAGCCTCTCGATCAGCTGTTTCAGGCTGCAGGGATTGCCATTGCCTATTGCTGTCTCCATGCGCCTCATTTTCAGCCTCCGCACCCCGTTTTCAGCCTCCCCATGTCTCGCTTTTGGCCTCTGTGTGCCCCAATTTTTGGCCTTTCCAGGTGGCGGGGATCAGAACAGGCAGAAAATGGGCACATGGAGGTGGCAATAGGCAATGGCAATACTTGCAGCCCAAAACAGCTGATTGTCAGGAGGCCATTCCAACCAACAATCAGCTGCTTGTGCTAATCAGGCTGTGCTGAAGCTGAAACAGGCTATTTGCTGTTTGCTGCCAGGAGACAAATTGCTGGGAGGCAGAGGCCAAAGGGTGGGGGCCGGTGGATGGGTGGGGCTTTGGCAACATTCGCTGTATAAGATGCACAGACATTTCCACCCACTTTTGGGGGTGAAAAAAGTGCATCTGATACTCCAAAAAATACAGTACTTGGAAAAGAAGTAGCAATCGTCAGAGAAAATGAGAACTTTTCTCTAGGTATGATCTTTTGTACATTTTGTGTGCTTGTGGAATAGGAAGCCTTGAGGGGAATAAACACAGCTGATCATATCTTGCTCCTGAATCTTCTTTGGACTAGTTCTGCTAAGCCTCAGCTCCTTGACTGACCCTTCAGTTTGCACAAGCTCTCTCCCCTTTTAGGGAGCTAATCCTGTTCTCTCCCTTTCAACCATACTCTACCATTGAAGACTGACCAGTGGCCCAAACCATGGATTCCACTTGCTGGAGTTGGGGCTACTTCTGTGGGCACAAAGGACAGACGTCAAGTGCTGAGTAACCTACTCCAAGTGATCCCTCCTAGTTATGATTGACAGAGAGGAAAGTCCTGCTGAGGTTTCCTTTCATGGGACTTGTTTTACTCCACAGCAGGAAAAAGCAATTTACTTTGTTGGCAGAGTATCATAACAAATCAGCCACAGGCAGCCCTGTTCTCTTTCCATGATTGCAGTGCATTTTGAAAGTTACAACTTTCTTTTTGTTTCTTGATCTGCCACTAAATATACAGTTTTTGCTGCAACTGATTAAAAAATGTCATTCCTTTGGGATTTCATAATGTTCTGTTTGGTTAAGTGAAGTTTTCAGTCATTAGGATTTAGTATTACATATCCCATAACACAGATTTCCAGAAGAGAGTATTCTGATGCATTAAAAGTACAACTCCCTTCACCGGCGTAATAGCATCTGCAGAATCTAGAGATTTTATAAAAAGTACAAATGGTGCACATACAAAAGGAAAGGACTTTGCACCCTAGTGGAATGGACATTTTCCCATTTGCCTCTGGAAAATGCCCAAGCACTTCTAGTTAGCATGGTAGTAGACAAAAATATCAGTTAAAGACCCTAACTTTATATCCCAAATAGTATACTGTAAGGAGCTGTCTTATTGAAGCTCAGATAACTGATTCTTGCTTTTCATGCTACAGGCTGATACTGCAATTGCATTACATTTGGCCTGTTCCTTTTTAATTTTATTGCTAAGCATGCAGTGGTATCCAGTAAGCCCTAGAATGCCTTCCTAGAAAAATCAGTTATTTGCCCTCTCAGTAACAATACTCAAACATTTGTCTAAGAAAGGGAACCACAGACCGTACAGCAATTATTTAAAGTAAATGTAATAAACAAAGTAACCAAGAAATTAGGTTTGTTCAGAGGAGATTTTTACAAGCCGCCTTGTTTACCTGCCACCTGTCCATGCCCTGCCAGGGAAGAAACTTGGACTGAGAAGTTCTACTTCTCTCACTTCACTCCTTGAAGGGTCGTGATTGTGCGTCTGACTTTAGGAAAGCTATTTCATCACAGCCATTGCCAAGATACTGGGTTCTTTTCTGGGAGAGAGTGCAGTGACTTCTTTCACACATGTAGCTGCCTTCTCTGAAGGCAGAAGTAAAGGCCCTTAAAGCAGCAAAATCTATACAAACAGTTGCACTGCACTTCAGTCAATTACTTATTATTATTCTTTAGTTGGCCTTCCAGTGCCTCCTAGAGTTGAATATTAAGTGTATACACGATCATGAGTTAATAAAAATAAAAATAATAAAATAAAAATCTAATAATGTGGTGAAAAAAGATAAGGCTCCTTAGTTGACAACAAGAAAGTGACACCCCCCCCCCCCAGTTTACAATCACAAAATATATGCATTTTATATATAAGCAGGGTCATTATGACCTCTTTCTGCACTACTAAACCATGAAGTCATATCTGCTCCACAAACCATGACAGGAGATTACTTTAATAAAAAAAATATCACTGTACTTGCTGCAAATACTCATTCTGTATATGCATTGAAACCTGCATCATTTAATTTGTACTTTTTTGAGCTGCAGTAGCTTTTACTTTAATGTAGTTTTCATGTAAATGAGCTAATGCGCAGTATAGTAGTGCCTTTTAGTAATAATTACTTCTGGAATTTCCTCAAATATGACTTGAGATGTTCACAATCTGCAGTGTTTCACATATTCTAGTATATCCCAGAAGTTCAAATGCATTTGTGAAATTCCTGCTTTGAACTGTTAGCATTGAGTCCTAGCATGATGTAAGTGACCACAGGAAACCCATACATTTCATGGCGAGCAGGGGTGTGTCAAACTCAGTTTCAGCGAGGGCCACTTCAGCATTATGTCCGCCCTCAAAAGGACCAGTAGCTGGGTCAGCACGACTAGGTGGGCATGGCTGGGTAGGCGTGGCTGGCTCAATGTCACTCAGTGGGCGCAGCTGATACAGGACAGCTGGGTCAGGATGCAACAAGTCGCACTGGCTAATTCAACATGGGGACAATTCAGTGCCCCCAAAGCTTCTCACCTTCTCACACACACATGCACCGCATTCCAAGTTTGGGGACTTTTATCCACAGAGGAAGGAAAGGCTCTTCTCCCCTAGCCCAGGTATGATTGACTGTAAGCTCAGATATGGATAAACGTCACCAAGGTTGGAATGGTGTGTGTGTGTGCACATGCGCGTGCGCGCACAGCATGCCAAAGGAGACATTCTTCTCCCAATCCCAGACATCATTGACGTTTCCCTGTTGTTGGCATTTCCCTGCACCCTCCCAGAAAAGTAGGAGATGGAGGATGACACTGCTATGTGTGGAAGTGCGGAAGAGAAACTATGCTGGAAGCACTTTCCTCCAAGTCCAACTTCTGCCTTGGCAAATCTCTGGAGAGCAAGAAGAGGTGGCAGGGGAGCAGCATTCCCAGGTCCTGCACGAGGGAGTCTGGCTGTTCTTGAAAGGGAATCCCCATTTTCAATCGAGTGTGGTAAAGATGCTGCCTTGCCTTCCCTCATGCAGCTCCTGTGCTGCCCCCTCCTCTCCAAAGACCTGCGCTTCCACACGCAGCAGCAGCCTCCTCCACCTCCTGCAAGGGGCCAGGCAAGGCTGGAAGTGGGGATCTGGCAGTCTCCAGCAGAGGAAGGTGAGACAAAGTCAAGCCTAATCCACTAGGAGGGCCTTGCCATCTCTCTCAAGCCACGTGGCCTCCTGGGTGGTGGCACAATCTGCCGGAGCCCTGGGCAGCAGAGGGCAACTCTCAAGCTCCCAGGGCACCTGGACCCTGCAGTGCAGTGCAGTCCCACTTCTCAAAGGGGAGCCCATCTGCACTTACCTCCTCCTCGAGGCTGGTACTGCTGTGCTCACTCTCCTTAGCCAGGTTGCTCATAGTGGGTGTGTGAAGGCAAAGTGCATGGGTCAGAGTGGGGCCCTCTCCATTTGAGAAGACCCAGATTTGTAAGTAAAGCATCCTCAGCAATCAAATGGGAGACCACCGAGAGCCCAGGAGAAGGGAGCAAGGGGATGGAGAAAGGGCAGCAGGGCTGCCGATGGTCAAGTGCTGAGGCAGGACTTCCCTCAGCTCAGACCCTCCCACTTGTTCCAATCTCCTTCCTTCCTTCCTCCCTCCCTCCCTCCCTCCCTCCCTTCTTCCTTCCCTGCCTCCTTCTCATTCCCATCTCACCACTGAATTGCACTCTGTTGGACAGGGCCCAGTGTTCAAGTCTGTACCTCAGATCTATCTTCTAAAGTGTTGGCTATACCTCCCTGATTAGTGTCATCTGCAAATTTGATGAGTTCTCCTTATATCCCCTGATCCCCTCATAAATGAAGATATTGAAGAATACTGGCCTTCTTCTGTTCTTGTTTGAGAAAATTGAAGGTTATCACACTTGACTGCCCAGAATATTTGGAAAGATCAGAGAAAAATATCCAGCTCTCCCTCACAGTCCCAACATCTCTGTGCATTACAACCTTTTATCCCTTCCTTATTCCAGAGATAAATTCTCCATCCTGGAAAGTCATT